TGGCTCTCCAGGTTTTGTTGGACTCCCACTCTCTTAATCCCCAGCCAAAATGGTCAAAGGTCTGAAATGATGGGAGTTCTTCTGATGTTTCTTTTTTATTTAAACTTACATGTTGCCAAATAGTGACAGTGTTTTCACCTAATGACTGCATTCACTTAACAGATCGTGGTGATTAACTTGCAAAAAGGTTCGTAAAATCAGGTCACATAATCACCTGCTTTACGACCATCATGACTTGCAACCATTATTATTATTATTATAGACTATCAGTAATCATATAGTAAATACGGTTAGGGCACTAAGTTGGCGAAAGCTGATGCAGCTATTAGAATCTAGATCAGTGGTTCTCAACCTGTGGGTCGGGACCCCATTTGGGGTCGATCGACCATTTCACGGGGGTCGCCAAGCAAGGCTGTCCGCCATTTTTTTTGTCTGCCATTTTTTTGTCCGCCATTTGTTTTCCCCTTTTCCGCCGGGTGCCTTACCTCTCTTGGGCTGGGCCAGCTGGTGGTCGTCCTGCTCCGTCTCTGCCGCTTGCCAGCTACGCCTCGGCCGGCGCAGGGGGCGGAACCACACATGCGCGGCGCTCCCGGGCAGTGAAAGTCCTCGACTTACGACCAATTGGGTAGTCCTCGACTTACGACCGGTTTAGTCCTCGACTTATGACCGGTTTAGTCCTTGACTTACGACCAGTTGGGGTCGCGGTATTAAAAAGGTTGAGAACCACTGATCTAGATAATGATGGGGGGGGGGGAAGAGCCCTAAAGAAAATAACCTTGCTGAGTGAAATAGTTGCACTGCTTTAGTGCTGGAAATAACTATTTGACCTATTCTGGTGTAACCCTTTTAGGGCTTTTCTTAAAATAGGATATCTAGAACAATGGCCTCCAGCATGGCATCTGCTTTCCTGGTGATATAAAAGGGGAATCCAGGTGTTCCAATATGTAGTTGCAAAACAAGGAGGGAATTCAAGTCCTGATCTAGTCATGAAAGCCAGTTGGGTGACTTCAAATCATTTTCTCTCAGTCCAACTCACCTTACAGAATTGTTGTGGGGAAAAATAGGAGGAGGAAGGTGTGTTTGATATATTCTCCGCCTTTTTGTTATTTGTAAAAATAATAACAAAAGCAGGATAGAAATAAATAAGGGCGCACATTTTAGGAGATGGAAAAATATCCCAAGATTTTGGCAGTTTCCCCCAGATGGCCGTGTTAAATCAAAATTTCACAAGTTCTGTCAATCTTTGCAAGATTAAAATATAATAAGTTTTTGTTACAATTTACCAATGTATATGTATTTTGCAAGTATAGATGCAAAATTAGATCAGCATTTTCCAAACCGTTTCTTTTTTCATTTAAATTACTAATTCCGCTGTCATGTATTTTATCATTATCTTATAAGATCAATATATATTGCAAAGTAGTTTACAATTTTATAAATAAATTTCTCATTTACTTGGCCAGTGGTTCAAGATAAAGAGGGAGGGGGAAACCTCTTAGATCTGTGCCTAATTTATTAGTGCTTAATTTATTGATGGAATTGTCAAAAACTAGCAAACGTTGGTAATTAAAACAACTTTTAAAATGGATTAAAAGAAATTAGTCAGAAAGATCTTAGTTATAATGGCAAACTGAAGACGCCTATTGTTTGTATAAGTCTGACTTTTTGAATCACACATGGCCAATAAAGACTATTCTATTCTATTCTATTCTATTCTATTCTATTCTATTCTATTCTATTCTATTCTATTCTATTCTATTCTATTCTACTCTACTCTACTCCATTCCATTCCATTCCATTCTCCTGCCTTCATTAATTTTACAAATAACTCAAGGTGGTGAATATATCCAATACACTTTCCTCCTCCTATTTTCGCCACAACAACAACCCTGCTAGGTGGATTGGGCTGAGAGAGTATCTCGCCCAACATCACCCAATTGGGTTTACATGGCTAAGGCGGAACATAAACTCACAGTCTCCTGCTTTCTAGCCTGGTGCCTTAACTACTAGACCAGGAGTAGGCAACCTTGGCTCTTTTATGACTCGTGGACTTCAACTCCCAGAATTCCTAAGCCAGCATGGCTCAGCTTGGAAGCTTCTCCCTTTCCCCTCAGCATGGCTGGCTCAGGAATTCTGGGAGTTGAAGTCCACGAGTCATAAAAGAGCCAAGGTTGCCTACCCCTGTACTAGACCAAACTGGCTCTCCTTAATCTTATTTGGCAACATGTAAGTTTAAATAAAAAAGAAACATTATTAGAGATATCCATTCATAGTTCTGATAATGAGTCTGCTTAGGGCAGTGAAAAAGAAAGTGTTAGCAGCAACATATATCATAGAAAAGAGGTATATATAATAGAAATAAAACAAGAGGAAAAATACGCTGATCCAAAATTAGGATTATATGTTTTAGATTATGAGATCTTTAGATTATGAGTTTTCCCAAGGTCTATGGCAGTGATGGTGAACCTTTTAGAGACCGAGTGCCCAAAACCCGCCTGCCCCTGCTCTGCCCCGTCCTGCCTGCCTCCCCTGCCACCCTGCCTGTCCACAGGGCCACTCACCACCTCCACGACCCGCTGCAGATCGCCCAGGCGACCCAGCAGCGCCATGGGGGCCATGCCATCCGCATCAACTGCACGCAATGGGGCACAAGGGCGGAGTCTTGTCCCCGCTGCCTGGCTGCCATGTCCTTGGCTGCGCTGCTCTGTGCGGACCACGCTCGGGGACAACTCTCCTCCGGGGGGGGCTGCTGGTGAGGAGGGGGCCGCAGGGCTGGGGCGACGGCACGCGTACCCACAAAGAGGGTTCTGAGTGCCACCCCTGGCATACATGGCATAGGTTTAACACCACTGGTCTATGGGAAAAAGCACCACCCATTCTTATTTTATCCATTAGGAGCAAAAAAAAAAAAAAGAAGACTTTACTATTCAGAAATTCAGTTATACAGGTAGTCCTCAACTTATGACTGTAACGGAGCCTGAAATTTCTATTGTAAATCACGATGACTGTAAGTCAAAGAACACACATGACCAGATCTGATGTTATAACTTTTTTGTGGTGGTTGTTAAATGAATGCCACAGTTGTGAAGCAAATAATGTATTTATTTCCATGGAGGGTTTTTTTGTCAGAAACCAGCTGAAAAGGCCAGAAACTGAAAAAAAAATGTTGAAAACTATGGTCATGTGACCTTGGAACACTCAACCAGCTGTAAAGGTGAGCAGTTGCCATGTACCCAAAATGTGGTCATGTCATCCTTTCTGTGTGTGTGTGTGTGTGATTGAGCAGCCTCAGAAATCCAGAACCAGGTCTTAAGTAGCTACTGGGAGATCCATCATTAGTTTGAACAGTCACTAAGTTACCAGTTGTAAGTTGAGGACTACCTGGAATACATTATTTTACAGTACTATAAGAAAAAAAAGGGGGCGGGGAGAAAGAAAAAAAAGAGAGGAAGGATCACAACTGATTCTGAAACACAAGACCAGAAAATGCACAACTGTCGGCTATTTCTCACAGGTTAATGGCCTGTTACCACCTGCTTTCTGCAACCTCCCTTATAAAGGAAGGAGAAAGCTATGGTTTTCTTTAAGAACTGAATGCACACACTCAGGAAATATACCTGTAGACCACAGCAGCCAACAGCATTCAATATGGAAGCATTGTGGACCACTCTGTAAGGAATTCCCTGCTTCACAGCCCGGAGAACAAGGTCACTATGTGTAGTTGCCCTGCAGTAAAAAAAAAAAAAAAAAGCAAGTTATAAAACATGGTAAATTTTCTGTAGCACTGCAATTATGTAATAATAGCAATAACCAAATGTTGTCTTCCCTAATAACCCTTTTCCAAAACATGAAGCTATCCAAATCCTTGTTTTCCAATTCAAATGCAGAATTTTGTGTATCTGTCGCTTGCACTCATTTCCAAACTAGTTCTGTTCCTCAAGCACCATTGTGTGTGTGATTGCAATCCATGGCCTGTTGCAAATCTACACACCTTAAGACCTCATGGCATCTTGTAGATGGGATGATAATTATCCCAAAATGAAGGTTAACATGTGAATCAGTTAAATCCAAGAAATAAATGTCCCCCTGAACTGTATCATTCAGGGAATTCATTCAATCTATCTAGATAATGTACTGCTGTGGAAACAGAAACAAAATCAAATCAAGATGTATTTTTTTTTCCTCCCACACTTTCTCTCCCCCCCCCCCCCGCGTGCCAGTCAGAGCCTAAGAAAGTTGCAAAACCTTATCGTAAATTTGTATTTCACATATGGACACTTGAGAAGTATATGCTTTCAGATGGTCCTTAGTGAAACAGCAAGAGGGATGAAAATCCACACTGAACTCAACCAACTAAATCTGGAAAAGAAAAGAAAAAATCCAAGCGACCCTATACCAAACCTAGTTGAAACACTAGAATGCTAAAAATTACAGTCGTTTGCATTTTAACTTTAATAAACGATTGCGTCTGAAAACTAGGTGCTCCATTTCTTTGTCTCTTTCTGAAAACTGCAAGACATCTGTTAGCTGGCAAACAGCAACTCGGGCACAAAGAGCAACTCTGGCGTAACTCCAATGCTCTCTTTTAATTACTGTGCAAACGGAGTTTCATTTAATTGCAGATGAGAAACTTGGTATGCATGCTCTGTGCTTGCCATAGTATGCAAAATGCTTGTTTTCTGATACATTCACATTTGTTATTCAAGAAGACTGGGGGGGGGGGGAAGTGAATGGTAGCCCCTCATAAGTGCTGGATTTCCACTGCATGTGCCAGGCAAACATCTAGCTTAAAGAAAGATCTCTTCTGAGGGATTTAGAAAACAAAAGATTGCAAGAAATCAAGAGAAGTGCAGTAAGGCGTACAGAAAACATGCAAATCAAGGCTGTCAGAGGCTTTAGTTAAAAGAGCAGCAGCTCCCTATAAGCACTGATAAATGTACTGCTGAAAAAAGTTATTCATTAGAATTAATATGGCCTACCATTCAGATACTAAGATGAGTAGGCTAGAGGTACTTGGCCAACAAGAATTAAGGTGTTTGAATGCAAAAGCGGACATTGATGAAGAGATGTTCCTGGAGCTACTGACTGCTCAAAGCTCTAACCCTAGAGAAGCTCCTAATCAAACATGCATCAATCACATTTACTGTATTATCCACCCAAATGTAGAAATTAATTTAATAAGACAGCCAAACCTCAACAATGGCTTCAGCTGCTCCCATTTCCCCAAGGAATCTTAGTTTAATGCTGCTTATTGGATGGAAGAGAAAGAGGGAAAAGAAAGAGCATCTGGCTGAATAGAGTGATTAAGCAATCCACTCTCTGGCACTGATGCTTAATTCCCATTGAGGTACATCCAAGAGTTGCTGAGACTAACCCTTCTATCATTTTTTTTGAAGTTCTGTTTGATTGCTCCGACCACACATTGCATAATATAGCAACGTTTGCACTCAGAAAAATATATGTTAGTCAGTTGTTTAGATTTTGTGTTGGTGTACATATCATCTTTCTATGTAAAAATTAATCATTTTTTGTAATTACCTTTTAGAGAGTGACAGGAATAATATAACAAGTGCAATAGTTAGGGAATAGCAAAGGATAATTTTAATTATAAAATTAACTAGTCACCTGAAACCAGGCAGACTCTAAGCAGCTTATAGAAATAGAATTTTCCCTTTAGAACTCATTGTAAAGAATCAAAAAGTTTTCACAATAGGAAAACCAAGTAGGCAACTGACTGGGAACTAGGGCACATAGTAACCACAACAGAGCATGGCTAAAGCTTTTGCGCTCTAGTCTATTCAACTTCATTCCAAACTGAATAAAATTTAAAACAATTAAAATACTTTAATGTCAAAAATGCAACTGTTAGCCAAGGCAATTGTAACAAAACTGCCAATTGCATTTCTTAGAAGTTTGGATCTCCATTAGAATCTAAACATTATGCTTGTTTGTTTTCTTATATAATGTTCAGAGGCAGCTTTAAGTAAAGGCAATTGCAGCACTCTAGTATGGAGATAACTAACATATGATTAACAGAAGCTAGAAAATCCATAATTGATAGATAAAATTAACCTAGACTGCATTGCCACTATCTGCTTTGTTGGCCCGCAAGCCCAAGAATATCTTAGGATTCACAATGAATATTTTGCAGCAGAGCAGATTCTTTCAGGACTAAATTAACATTTGTGTGCAGATAAGGAAGATACCCAAATCTTCAGAACCTATACGGATTGTTTTTGTTGGATTAATACATTTTATCCGGATTAATCTTTAACTGTCAGAATGCCAGACCACCAAAAGCTTATAAACATTTTAAAACCTGAGGTTGGCCCACAGCAAAGTTTGGAAATAATCTTGGAGTGAAGTTTGTGTTTGAATGATTTATATGGAAACATTTGGCTATATCAAACAGGGTTCTTTTCATTGTGTTTCAGCACAAAGATTCAGTAAGACACACTTAATAATTATGTCACTGCTTTGAGTGGAGTAATTATATTAATTCACCGTGGTTGGTATCATCTGTAAGTGCCATTTGTTTAAAAAGGCAGGAAGAAAGCAAGAAAATGTCCTTTTCATGTTGCTAAAGATGTATATCAATCCCCATTTATGTATATGCATACATTTCTTTCACAGCAGGAATTTCTCAGATGATGCCCATGGCAATTACATTTTCTCAACCCTCTCATCAGAAGGGCAATATTAATTTTAAAGCCCCAGCTGGAAACAAAAGCTGCTTTCCTTTTTACATTGTAGATTGATGATGCTCAACTGGCTAAGGCAGAAGGAAGGGGAAAGAAAGGGCTGCAAATATAAATGGAGCAAGGAAACTTAATAAGTCAAACTCATTTGTAATGGACCCAGATGTCTACAGTATGGATAGACTGTGTAACTTGTACTGCAGCATTACATTTCAAAAACCATCACATGGATTGTAGATGCAACATGAAAGTTGACAAAACAGTCTGAACAAGCCTTACTGAATCTCTTGAGAAACCAATAAGGAACAGCATGTATGAAAAATACCTTTTTTTAGAAGGCAGCCAAGACATCAATAATCAATTTACTTCACTACTGACGAGCAAGGTATTATAATACATCATGCAAATTAGTGTGCATTCCTATTTAAAGGTGCAACACAGGTGATCATCTTGGCAAGTCTGACTGCATCGGGGCTAAGAAATTGGGAGCATGCTTCTCCTATAATTTCTCTTCACTTCTTCATGAACTGCCTTCCTTCCCAAGATCTGGTACTGATTACTAATAAGATTTCCACATAAATCATTATGATCACTCGTTGTACCCATTATATGGTAAATAAATAAAATTATTGTAAATAAATAAGGTGGGTCTCCAAATCCATTTTAGAGCCTATTTTTAAATTCTGATGTTAGCTTCCACCAATGTACAATTAAAAGGTTAATCAGGAAAGTTATGGAAGTTAGGCAGAAGAGATTCTGAAGCATACATTATAGAGGGAAAGTTACTTTTTTTCAGTGTAATCACACTAGAGATATGTTTAAAACCATAGGTTGTGGGATTTTATTTGGCGTTTTCTTTTCTTACCCAAAAGGATCACCAACTACGAGAAAAGCCACATCAGTTTGATATGCATCTTTCAGGATATCATCAGCATATTGCTCTACAATTTCTCTGTCAGCAAGGATCAGCTCTTTACCATAGAAATCTTCCTACAAAAAGAAAAAGGTTATATCTGTAGCTTATATGTTCCAAAGCAGTGATGGCGAACCTTTTAGAGACTGAATGCCCCAAAACCGCCCCATCCCCCAGCCTGCCTGTGCTCCAACCCCGCCCCGCCCGCAGGGCCACTCACTGCCCAGGTGGCCTTGCAGTGCCATGGCAGCCACGCCCTCCGCCCGCACCCCGCAGGATAATCTGCACGCGACGGGCAAAAGGACGGAATCTTGTCCCTGCTGCCTGGCTGCCATGTCCTTGGCTGCGCTGCTCCGCACGGGCTGTGCCTGGGGGAGACTCTCCTCCGGGGGGGCTGCTGGTGAGGAGGGGGCTGTGGGGGGGAGGCAGGGCTGGGGCAATGGCACGCGTGCCCACAGAGAGGGCTCCAAATGCCACCTCTGGCACGCATGCCATAGATTCGCCACCACTGTTCTAAAGGAAAGTAAGGTGACATGCAAAAAGATCTGGCATTATGATACCATCACAGCTATCCTGCAAAGCAGTTTAGAATGAAATCGAGTGGATGCTTAAGAAACTGTCCCAAGGATTGGGGTAGACAATTTTTGGGTGGTTGACCTTGGAGGATGGGCACACATTCTTTTTAATAGTGTTTTCAACCAATGAGGATAGCAAATGGGCCTGACTTTTTCATGCCTTTCTGTTCTGAGGGCAGCATGTTTAATTTTCAAATTACTTTCACAGTTTAAAGGACACTAAGTCCACTTGAAGACTTAGAAAATCATGAGCTATGCTACTTTAATTCAGGAGGAAATCACATTGCTAAGCATTCAGTGACCTACTGATCAATTGTAGTAGCACAACTGCAGGAGGCCTGGGGTACTACAAAGCAGGGCTGAGGGCTATATGGCTTATTTAAAAGAATGGCAGATTGCAAAAATTACAAATGGGTGGCTTTGCCTTTTGCATTAAGTCATCAACTATTGTTAACAAACCACATTACTTAGTATTCATATCCTATTAAGTGAAAGCCAAGCTATAACAACAACAACAACAACAACAACAATAATAATAATAATAAAGTTGGAAGGGACCTTGGAGGTCATTAAGTTCAACCCCCTGCTCAGGCAGGTAACCCTATATCATTTCGAACAAATGGCTGTCCAGTTTCTTCTTAAAAACTTCCAGTGTTGGAGCATTCACCGCTTCTAGAGGCAGGTTGTTCCACTGCCTAATTGTTCTAACTGTCAGGAGGTTTCTCCTTAGTTCTAGGTTGCTTCTTTCTTTGGTTAGTTTCCATCCATTGCTTCTTGTCCTGCCTTCAGGTGCTTTGGAAAATAGCTTGATTCCCTTTTCTTTGTGGCAGCCCCTGAGATATTGGAACACTGCTATCATGTCCCCCCTCGTCCTTCTCTTCGTTAAACGAGACATACCCAATTCCAGCAACCGTTCCTTATATGTTTTAGCCTCCAGTCCCCTAATCATCTTTGTTGCTCTTCTCTGTACTCTTTCTAGAGTCTCAGCATCTTTTTTACATCGTGGTGACCAAAACTGGATGCAGTATTCCAAGTGTGGCCTTACCAAGGCATTGTAAAGTGGTATTAATACTTCACGTGATCTTGAT